TATTCTGAAAGCTGTACCTATGATATTTGTATTAATTAAATAAAAGCTTTCTTTAAAAAATTGAAGATTTTTGCCTTCTCACAAGAAGCTTGTAATTTAATTTTGGAGCTGAAACCCACTGAAATGAAGCTGTGTTAGACTGATAACAAGCTGTATCATGTCCATATCAAATGCACTGATAACTTTGCTCATGAAATGATCAAATATGGGCTAACAAAAACATTAATATTAACTTGAAAAAAGACCATTGGAGAGTTGTCAATAACCAGCAGACAAATTGGTTGTTGAAGCTGAATGGAGTTCTCCATGATGCCTTGCCGGAATTGGTTTATGAGACAGTTGCAAAGGATGTGGTTTCTTAGGTCCTCAAGGTCTATAATGACAGTTTAGTTACTTGTTGTCTTACCTAAGAACCTGAGGAGTGCCTCCTGGAGAAAAAGGTGTAAGTATTTTACGGTGAATAAAATAAAATGGGACCTTACTTACTAAAATCAAAAAGGTAAAGGTGCAGGTGAATCAATCAAGCCCCCCAGTCTCCCCAAAAAATAAGTATTCCACTGAACTACTGTCAGTTGAAGTGCCAGCTGCAGGGGAATGTGGTGGTTGGCACTGAGGCCATCCTAAGGCTAGAAAGAGGTGAAAATGCCTGTGTATCAGAAGGAGGATGGGCATCAGAAATTGGTGCCCATCCCCACCCCATCAGATGACTACAGAGTGGAAGATGCAGGGAAACAGTGAATATTCATTGGAGGACTCTGATCCTCACAATAAGGGAGTAGCTACCTAAGAGACTTGGTGAGGAAAAACTGGACTTGGAAGAATTTCAGAGCCAGAGACATCCCTGCACTTCTCCTCTGTCCAGTTAACAACAGCATGACTCCCCCTCAATGCCTGAGAGCTTTCCTCCCATTCTCATCTCTCCCCAGGACCAACCTCTACAAGGCCAACCCTCCACAAGGCCAAGCCACAGATAGTGTTATGTTCAGATACCAAATTAAAACAAAAAGGAGCTGTTTCCTTACTCCCTTCTATTCCTGGCCTTGTTCTTTCCCAGGGCCCTTAATTTGATTCAGCTAGAAACCTTCCTCAGTTCTTGGGTTAACCACCTTCTCCATCCTGGGCAGAGTAGAAAGACAAGTTCAAGAAGAGGGATTCTAAAAACCAAAAGGGGGAAGGGACAGGCGACTAAAGTGTTTTCTGAAAAGATGGGAAAGAACACTGGGGAAGAAGAGGAAAGATAAGTAGGTCATTGTCTTGCACCTATAGTACAAAGTGAAGAAAGTTTGTTTTGGAAGGTAAGTCCTAGGTGATTTGACCTCTAGGCCCCAGATTAAGGGATAGGAGGTCAGTGGCAACAGCTGCCTGGTCCTGGTTGCTGAAGCATTAAAAAGTACCATGACAGGGCTGTCAGTAGGCAGACCTTGTGAGCCAGGGTTCAGTGTGCTCTTACTATAGGGGCTTTGTGCCAAGGGGTGGGGATGGAATTTATTTCTTAGCTCTTGTGCTAGCTCCATACTTATTTGATGCTAGCCACTCCCTTACCTGCTACAACACTGATTTTTGTTCTGCTGGGACTGCTCATGGAGGTCTATACCACAGCTTTGGCCTGCTGCAGCCCCCAGATTCTAGGGTTCACTCTTTAGCAACTTCTTAGCTATTGCCAGAAAGAAATCATACATGTTCATAGACGTCTTGGCTAGAGTCTCTATAAACAGTAAGCTGTTGTCATCTGCATGTCCTCAAGCCTCTTCATATTCGATCGTGCACTTTTCAGTCAGGTCAGCTTTGTTCCCCACCAGGGCAATTATGATGCTAAGACTGGCCTGCCTCTGTAATTCCTTTACCCATGTCTTTGCTTGGGCAAATGTTTCCTGATTAGTAATTTCATAAACCATGATTTCAGCTTGGACATCTCTGTAGTACATGCAGACTAAGCTGTGGTATCACTCCCTTCCAACTGTGACCCAGATCTCAGACTTGACTGTTGTCATGTCCAGACAAACAGAGTTGGTGAGGAAGATTGCTCCAGTGGTACTCTCCTGGTACTCATGAAATTGTCCTTTGACAAAACAAAATACCAGAATAGATTTTTGCATTGCAGATTGTCCTGCAAGACCAGTTTGCATTGGCATATATTGGTGGCCTTAGGCTGCCCATTGGGCCTGGCTATGCTTCTGCCACAAAGTGACAATACTGGGGCTCTGTCTTCCCTGTCAGGCCCAAGCCTGTGTTGCACAAAAGATAATTTGATAGGTAAGAATTTACTACTGACATTTTGCTCATTGTTTTCTGGTTGATTTTAGACTATTTGTTCCTTTGTACTTCTTGTCTCCCTTTGTGATAAGATGATTTCCTGGAGTTGTAGGCTCTGATTCGTTAGTTTTTATAGTAAGGAATAAAAATATAGTAAAAGTGGTTTTATGTATCTACTGAGGTTTTTACTCTGTTACCATGAGACTTATATGTAATAGCTTATAACAGGTTATTTTAAGTAACAACTTAAAGCACTCATTTTTATTATTTGTATTATGAGAACTCTACATTTTTATACTACCATCTACATTTTGTTATGATGTCACAATTTTCGTTTTGACAGTTTTATCTTCTAGTCTTTATACTAGAGAGATAAGCAATTTGTGTTTCACCATTATATATTATATTTTTATTTGACTATGTACCTTCTTTATATGAATTATACCTTAATGTATTTTCATGTTATTTAGAAGTGTGCTTTTCTTTCAGCTTGAAGAATTCCCTTTTTAGCATTTCTTTTAAGTCAGGTCTGGTGGCGATGAATTCCTTCAGCTTTTACTTAACTGGGAAGTCTTTACTGCTCCTTCTTTTCTGAAAGACAGCTTTACCAGATATAATATTCTTGGTTGACAGTTTTTACTTCCAGGACATTGAATACATAATTCCATCCCCTCTGGCCTGTCAAGGTTTTGCTGAGAAATCTAATAGCTGTGGTGGAATTCCCTTGCAGATGATCCTCCTGCTACTTTCTGATCTTTGCCTTTGAGTTTTGACAGTTTGATTTAATATGTCTTAGTATAGTCTTGTTTGGATTGAACCTGATTGCTCTTGTACCTGAATTTTTATGTCTTCCAAATTATTCTTATTCTCATTTTATTTTTAAATAAGCTCCTTTCTCTTTTTCTGCTCTTTCTATGATAACCACAGTACATGTGTTGGTTTGCTCAATTGTGTCCTATAATTCCTATGTGCTTTCTTCACCCTTTTTTACTCTTATTCCTCATACTCCCCCTTGATAACTTCAAATATCTATCTTTACAATCACTGGTTCTTTCTTCTGCTTGAGTCTGTTGTTGAAGCTTTTTATGGCATTTTGCCATTCATACATTTTGTAGTATAGCTCCAAAATTACTGTTTGGTTCCTTTTCATGGTTTTTATCTCTTCATTGAACTTCTTTTTTTTTTTTTTTTTTTTTTACAGGCAGAGTGGACAGTGAGAGAGAGAGACAGAGAGAGAAAGGTCTTCTGATCCGATGGCAGGAGCCAGGAGCCAGGTGCTTTTCCTGGTCTCCCATGGGGTGCAGGGCCCAAGCACCTGGGCCATCCTCCACTGCACTCCCTGGCCATAGCAGAGAGCTGGCCTGGAAGAGGGGCAACTGGGACAGAATCCGGCGCCCCGACCGGGACTAGAACCCGGTGTGCCGGCGCCGCAAGGTGGAGGATTAGCCTATTGAGCCACGGCGCCGGCCCATTGAACTTCTTTTGTTCATTTATTGGTTTTCCTGAATTTGTTTAGTTGTGCTCCTGTATTTTCTTGTAGTTCACTGAGCTTCTTTATTTTGAATTCTTTGTCAATTTGTAAGTTTCCATTTTTTTAAAGTTGATTACTGCTACTTTATTTTGTTCCTTTGGTATTCATGTTTCCTTGATTATTCATGATCATTATGTTTGTACACTGGTGTCTGCAGTGGAATTATTTCTTAACAGACCAGGACATATACCATGATCTAAAATTTCCTGTTGAGTTTTCAGTATATAGACTGGACTAACAATGCTTTACCCCTCAGAACGTCTTCAGTGTGATAGTAAGAGACTCCTGTGATGGGTGATCTGCCTCTTTTGTTATTGTCACATTGCATTAAGAACGTGTTTTTTAAATATTTCTTCTCGGTGATTTTCTCACTCTTAGAGCAGTGATTGCCTTAGTGGTTAACTGTCTTTGATGTGATCTCATGTTCTTTGCCTTTTAAATCACTTCATTTCCATTGAGGGAGATGATCATGGCTTCATATCTCAAGTTAACTTTGTCATTTTCATATCTTATCTGATATTTCATGAACATGTTCTGAACTGATAAAATAAAGCATGCAATGAAGTTGGCTTCATGAGTTCCTTTGTCTTGTTTTGAATAGAAGAAGAGTTGTTTATCATGATTTTTAACATTACTGACCTGAAAATTATTTTTTGTCAAAACATTAGTATTAGGTAAAACCACTTTCTTTGAACTAACTCCTTTCTTTGCTTGATTTTGGGAAATAGTCTTAGAACCAAGAATGTATTTATCACTTGAAAACTTGTATAAAGAACCTTGACAAGCATGATTTTAATGCTACATGGATAGAGACACTGCATAGTTGGCTAGGTTCACCAGCTAGCTAAAAAGCTCATACACAGTTGTTGTACTGCTTGCAATTCAAATTCAATCCTTGTTAAAATCATAATTCACAGTATGACAGAATTTTCACAATTGTAGTTCTTTTGGAATAAAATGTACAGTTATAAGAAGTAAATTATAAATGCCTATTCTCTTATGTATCTCTGGGTAGTAGGAGTACTGGAAAAATTTATTTTCTCTCTTTTTTTTTTTTTTATTTGTTTGAAAGAGTGTGAGAGAGAAAGAGAGAGAGACCAGTCTTCCATCCACTGGTTCACTGGTTCACTTTCTTTTTCTTTTTTTTTTCTTTCTTTCTTTTCTTTCTTTCTTTCTTTCTTTCTTTCTTTTTTTTTTTTTTTTTTTTTTTTTTTTTTTTTTTTTTTGACAGGCAGAGTAGACAGAGAGAGACAGAGACAAAGGTCTTCTTCCGTTGGTTCAAACCCCAAATGGCTGCCACGGCTGGCGTGCTGCGCCGATCCGAACCCAGGAGCCAGGTGCTTCCTCCTGGTCTCCCATGCCGGTGCAGGGCCCAAGCACTTGGGCCACCCTCCACTGCCTTCCGGGGCCACCGCAGAGAGCTGGACTGGAAGAGGAGCAACCGGGACAGAATCCAGCGCCCCGACCGGGACTAAAACCCGGTGTGCTGGCACCGCAGCCAGAGGATTAGCCTAGTGAGCCATGGCGCCAGCCCCACTGGTTCACTTTCCAAGTGGTGCAACACCAGGGCTGGGCTAAGCCAAAACCAGCTATCTGGAACTCCATCCAGGTCTCCCACATGGGTGGCAGGGGCACAAGCACATGGGCCATCTTCTATTGCCTGTCTTGGCACATTAATAAGGGGCTGGATTGGAAGCATAGCAACTGAGATTGGCAGTGGTACACCAATACAGGATAACAGTATTGCAGGCTTAGCCCACTGCACCACAACCCTGATTGCTCTTCTTTATTTGTTTCAAAATATAAAAAGAAGTAAACATAGCTTTTAATAGCCCTTCCTCCAAAGGAGAGAAAGAGAAACAAATCATATAATGAACATTTACTGGGCCTTGAACTATGCTAGTTGCTCTATATACATTTCCCCTATGAACCTTAAACAGTCTTGTGAAATAGATGTTGTTATGCCCAATTTTCAGACAGGGAAACTGATAGAAAAATATATAATCATGAACAAGTTCTTTATGTAGTAAACAACACAGCTGTGATTGAAACTACCACATAATAGTAATAAGTGCTGGTTTACTGCTTAGAATCTACACTGCTTAATTTCTTAACTGGAAAAACATGAAAGGTGTGGTCATAGAAAAGAGTAGACCTTGGCTTGCTTACCGTTAAAATACCTAAGAATTTTACCATGTAGTTCCTCTCTTAAAATACACTTACATTACTAAAGTAGCATATTGAAGCATAACATACTACTCTGTTGTTCAAAAGTGACTCAAAGAGTGGTTTGTCCAAGTGGGCATTGAGAGACATTACCATATATAGACAAGGTCCTTTTGGATGGATGATCTGCCCTATCACACTGCTGTTTTCTCTGGCCTCAACTTATTCTTTTCTTCCTTTCCATTGCTCATATATGAAAACAAATCCATTAATTTTCTTTCTCTTCTCAAGTACAGTCTCTTCCAAATACTGATAACTGTCAAATCTTTTTCTATTTCCGGTTGCCCCCCTCAATTCCATATGGGTATAGCAGCCTGATTTCATCTTTGTGGATACCCTGAAGTTTCAAAGCCATATCCTTTCTTTTAAAAGTTTATTTCATTTTTGGGGGGAGGAAGGCATACACATACACACGCACAGACACACAGAGCGAGAGAGAGGGAGAGAGAGAGCGCGCACGAGCGTGCATGTTTGTTCTTGCTGGTTTACTCACCAGATGCTCACAAGGCTGGGGCAGAAGTGTAACCAGATCTCCCCTGTGGGTGGCAGGAACCCAATTATTTTAGATACCCCTCTCCCCCCAAGAAAGCTGGAACTGTACATTGAATGCAGGTACTCCATCATGAGATGCAGACATTTTAACCACGAGGCTATAAATATCTGTTCCCTCTTTGAGTTAATAGAAAAAGTTTGAAAGCTACTGCTCAGAGGAATTTTCATACATGCCCAGAGGAAATATGTGATGGTACAGCAGACAATAATAACTTTTCTTTGTGATGTTGACTTTTGGGACCTTAGCAAGTATCGATTATTGATGTGACTATCCATATCCTTCAGTTGACAGCATTCCCCATGGTTGCCTGGATTTTCAATTTATTTAATCAGTGTCTTCCATAAAAGTTTCCTATAGAGGGCAGCAGAGCCATAGCAGTGAGCTGTGTTCATAACCTACATTTTTCAGGAAGTGTGAAGGAAATTGGAGTTAGGTGAGCTTTGTTATATAATTTTTATGTACTTAGTAACCTTTTTGCAAATATGAACTAATAGGCGTAATAAATACCAGATAACTAAAGTGAGGTTCAGGCTTTTGATAAGCTGAACAACAGAAACTATCAGGCACAGATAAATGATCTGAAAATAATCCATAGTTTTAAGGAGAAAGCAAGTGTGATTTTCAAATTTGCAATATGGATTCACTGTTATAAAACAGAAGTTTTCTTTGTATTCTTACCAGTACTGATAGAAAAAAAATGATTCAGTAATTAATAAATGATGGAACTGTGGAAAAATTTAACAAAACAAGAATAAACAATATTTTTTATTCTTACAAGGAGATATTATCACACTTTATTATTTTTTTTTTATTTTTTGACAGGCAGAGTGGACAGTGAGAGAGAGACAGAGAGAAAGGTCTTCCTTTTGCCGTTGGTTCACCCTCCAATGGCCGCCGCGGCTGGCGCACTGCTGCCGGCGCACCGCGCTGATCCTATGGCAGGAGCCAGGTACTTCTCCTGGTCTCCCATGGGGTGCAGGGCCCAAGTACTTGGGCCATCCTCCACTGCACTCCCTGGCCACAGCAGAGAGCTGGCCTGGAAGAGGGGCAACCAGGACAGAATCCGGCGCCCCAACCGGGACTAGAACCTGGTGTGTCGGCACCGTAAGGCAGAGGATTAGCCTAGTGAGCTGCGGCGCCGGCCAATTAATCACACTTTAGAAAGTGAACTGACAAAGTCTTAAAGCATTTTTTAATTTAATGATGATAGTTGTGATTCTGTTGCTCAATTTTTTATTGTAAAATATACATCATAGAAAAGTTTCCACTTTGACCTTTTTTTTTTTTTAAGATTTATTTATTTATTTATTTGAGAGTTAGGGTTACAGAGTGAGGGAGACAGTGAGAAAGGTCTTCTATCTGCTGGTTCACTCCCCAAATGGCTGCAGTGGCTGGAGCTGGGCGAATCCGGAGCCAGGAGCTTCCTCCAGGTCACCCATGCAGGTGCAAGGGACCCAAGCCCTGTGGCCATCCTGTACTGCTCTCCCAGCTCATAGCAAAGAACTAGAATGGAAGAGGAACAACCCGGACACGAATTGGCACACATAATGGGATGCCGGTGCCACAGGTAGGGCTGTGTAGCCTACCACGCCACAGAGCCAGCTCCCACCTTGAGTGTTTTAATGTGTACAATTCAGTGTTAGTAAATACATCTCTAATGCTGTGCAACCATTATCTCTTTCCATCTTCCAAAGCTGAAGCTCCATACCCTGTAACTCCCATTTCTCCCTCTCTTCCACTCCTGTCAGTCACCATTCTACTTTCTATAATTTTTTATACTATAGCTGATTCATTGGAGTAGTATCATATAATATGTCTTTTTTAAAAAATTATTTATTTATTTATTTTGAAAGAATTACAGAAAGAGAGAGAGAGACAGAGATCAATCAGTATTCTACTTGCTGGTTCACTCCCCAGATGGCCACAATGGCCCGTGCTGAACCAGGCTGAAGCAAGCAGCCAGGAGCTTCATTTGGATCTCCATGTGGGTGGTAGGCACCCAAACAATCGGGCCATCTTCTGCTACTTTTCCCAGGTGTATTAGGAGGGAGCTGGATCAAAAGTCTTCTTGTGGCTGGCTTATTTCACCAAACATCATGTCCTCAGGAGTCATTCGTGTTATGAGAATTTCCTTCCTTTTTAAGGCTATTAATGGTATTCTGTTGTATGTTTATAATACATTTTACTTAATTTGTGGCCTGAAGTGGAGTACCCTGGAAAATTATATTGAGGAGAGCATGTGTACTGATGTGTTTGGATATAGGGTATATGTCTGTTAGATATAGTTGATTGATTGTGTTTCAATTCTCTGTTTACTTACTTTCTGTCTGATTTGTCTATATTGAGAGTAGGGTATTGATTTCATTAACTTATTCTAGAACTGTCTTTTTTAACCATTAAGTTCTACCAGTTATGTTCACACACTTTAAGGCCTCCTATTAGGTACCTTTCTGTTCCTGCTGCATTGAACCTTTTATTAATATATAATTAAAAGCTATTTTTCTGACATTTTATAAAAGATTTATTTTATTTATTTGAAAGAGTTACAGAGAGAGGTGGACACACACACAGACACACACACACAGGTCTTCCATCCACTGGTTTACTCCCCAAATGGCCAAAACAGCTAGAGCTGAGCTGATCCAAAGCCAGCATCCAGGAGCTTCTTCCTAGTCTCCCATGTGAGTACAGAGGTCCAAGGCTTTGGGTCATCCTCCCCTGCTTTCCTAGGCACTTTAGCAGAAAGCTGGTTCAGAAGTAAAGCTGCCAGGACTTGAACCAGCACCTGTATCGGATATCTGCACCGCAGTTTGTGGCTTTAACCTGTTGTGCCACAGCTCTGGCTCCTTTCTGACGTTTTGATAGTCACTTCTGCTGTCTCATGGTTACGATGTACATGGAGTATCTTTTTCCATCCTTTCATGAACAAATCTTGGATGTAAAGTGAGACTAATGTAGACAACTTAGAGTTGGATCCTGTTTTATTGTTGTTGTTTTTTAATCCATCCCAATCCCTGTCTTTTTGTTTATAGAGTTTTTTAAATCTATCTAAATTTAAATAACTTCTCCTGCAGAGGAACTTACTGCATTTTGCTGTTTATTTTCTATACACTTTCTTGCTTTTTTTCTCTTGTTTCTTGCATTATGAAATTTTTATCATGAAATATTTGAAATCCTTTTTCATTTCTTTTTGTGTATATTTTATAACTGTTTTCTTTGTGTAATCATTGGGATTACACTTAACATCCTAAAATTTTAATACTGCACTTTGAATTTAGACCAAGTTAACTTTAATAACATGCTGAAAACTGCTTCTTAACAGCTCCATCCACAACCTTTCAGGCTGTTGATGTTACAAAACAGTGTCTTTTTGCATTGCATGTTCTATATTATAAACTAATAATTCTTTGACATGTATCATTCTCTCAAATGATGTAGGAAACAATCTGTGGAATTACAAGTCAACATTCTAATACTACTTTTTGGACTGATAATTTTAAAAAAAATGTTACTTTCTTAAATCAGGTAGAAAACAAAAAAGTATTGTTACAATAATACTAGCTTTTATATTTCCTTATATTTACCTTTATGGAGATCTTTATTTTTCAGTTAGCTTTTAATTACCATCTAATGTCCTTTCATTTGAACCTACAGGACTCCCCTGAGCCTATTTCACATGGCAAATGTACTGATCCATTAGTTTTTGTTTATCTAGGAATGTCTTAATTTCTTCCTTACTTTTGAAAGACAGTTTTGCCAGCTGCAGTTAGTATTCTTGGCTCAGGTTTTCGTTTTTGTTTTTTCCCTTTACAATGTGGGCCCATTACCTCTAGCCTTCAAAGTTTCTGGTAAGAAATCTGCTGCTAATCTTACTGAAATACCTTCTATTTAACAAATGATTTCTCTCTTCCTGCTTTCAAGATTGTTTGTCTTTTGAAAATTTGATTATAACATGTCTGGGTGTGGATCTCTTTGAGTTTATTTTGCTCTGAGTTTGTTGAGCTTGTTGGAATATTTTATTCATGTCTTTCTTCAAGTTTGAGAAGTCTCCAGCTACTCTTTTTTTTTTTTTTTAAGATTTATTTATTTATTTGAAATGCAGAATTACAGAGAGGCAGAGAGAGAGAGATCTTCCATCCGCTGGTTCATTCCCCAGATGGCCACAACAGCTGGAGCTACACTGATCCAATGCCAGGAGCCAGGAACTTCTTTCGGGTCTTCCACGCAAGTGCAGGGGCCCAAGGATTAGGGCCACCTTCTACTGCTTTCCCAGGCCATAGCAGAGAACTGGATTGGAAGTGGAGCAGCCAGGACATGAACTGGTGCCCTTATGGGATGCCGGCACTGCAGGCAGCAGCTTTATCTGCTACGCCACAGAGCTGGCCCCTCTCGCCACTGTTTAAATATTCTTTCTCTCTTTCTTATAAGCCCAAGATGTGTATGTTAGTCTGTTTCATGATCTGTTAGTTTGCAAGCAGTTTTCTTCAGTTCTTTTCCTTCTATTCCTCAGAATCAATAATATCTATTATCTTGTCTTTAAATTTACTGATTCTTTTCTTCTGCTTTCTGAAATTTACCTTTGAATTCATCTACTGAATTATTCATTTTCATTGATAGGCTTTTCAGCTCCAGATTTTATTTTTGACTTCTTTTTAGTTTTCCTGTCTCCTTGTGGATATTGAAATTCATACACTACTTTATGCCTTTCTTCATATCTTCCTTTACTACTTTGAACATCTTTAAAGTGATGGTTTTAAAGTCCTTGTCTAGAAAATCTAGTATCACATCTTTCATAGACAGATTCTGTTGATTTATTTTCTTCTGTGAGTGGGCTGTACTTTCTGTGCCTTGTTTTTTTTTTTTTTTTTTTTTGAAAGTTGGTTGGACATTTGAATCTAATAATGTGGTCAATTATTAAGTCCAAATTGTCTCCTTCCAAGGGATTTTTTTGTTTTGTTTTGTTTTGTTTTCACTGTTTTTCTTTAATCTATTTTATTATTGTAGGCTGTTTCTGTGCAAATATCCGCCTGAGATAATTTAAGGTCTTCTCATTCTTTTTTGAGCCTGCACTTTTCCCTTCATGAATCCACAGATACTGTTTGTTTATTGGGAAGGGAGGAAGAGAGAGAGAGAGATTGATCTATCCATCTTGCATTTGTTGGTTCACTTTCCATATACCCATAACAGGCCGAAACAAAGACCTTGGAACTTGATTCAGGTTTTCCATATGGGTGGCAGGAACCCAAGTACTTGGGCTATCAATTCTTGCTTCCCAGATTACACATGAGCAAGGAGCTGGAATGAAGAGTTGAACCAGAACTTGAACCTAGGTACTGTGATATGAAATGCAGAATCAACTGCTATGCCAAAAAGCTGCCCCAGTATTTACTTTTGAATGTCTTGATCTTTATTTTCTGGATCCCAAAAGAGAGGAAAGAAAAAATTCAAGGATGGGAAAAGAAAGCACATTAGCTCTTTAAATCTCCTGAGAGTCATTTTGCTGGAGCGGGAAGGTCTTGCCACAGTGTTGGGGGGTGGGAGGGGTGTAACAACAGTGACTACTTGCCTTTCTCTGCACCTCTGTGATCAGAAGCATAAGTCAGGGATTAAAGCCATCATTCTCTATATTTTGAAAATGAGGTCCTTTTTGCCCACTATGGTTCTTTTAAGGTACATGCAAGTTGTTCCTGGGAACACACGCACAACTGCCTGCCATGAGGCTGATCATGATAAGGGGTAGCTGCTGTTGTGCTGAAACTTGAAATTTACCAAAATTAGTTAAATTTATTGTTCAGGTCTTCCCCTGAGAGCCACAAACCTTCACTAGGCCCTAGGGATCCAAACCAGTTACATAGAACAGATTCTGCCATTGTAATTATTTTCTAGGTGGGGACAGAGATTCCTTATAGTTCTTGCTCTGTCATCTGCCTAGAATCCTCTGATAACATACTTATATGTGAGGATTGGAAGCGTGCATTTTAGAAGCCCTCTTTGATGTTAATTAAGTTTGTATTTTTAAAAAAGTGACAAAGTAAAGGGAATACTGAAGTTTTATTTTTCTTTGTAAAGATTTATTTATTTACTTGGAAGGTGGAGAGTTACAGAGAGGCAGAGGCAGAGAAAGAGAGATATCTTCCATTGACTGATTCAATCCCCAAATGGCTGCTGTAGCCAGAACTGGGCTGACCCAAAGCCAAGAGCCAGAAGTGCCTTCTGGGTCTCCCATGTGGATGCAGGGTCCCAAGCACTAGGGCCATCTTCTACGGCTTTCCCAGGCCATAGCAGAGAGCTGGATCAGAAGTGGAGCAGCCAGGACTCAAACCAGTGCCCATATGGGATGCTGGCACTGCAGGCAGTGGCTTTATCTGCTGTGTCACAGTGCCGGGCCCAAAACTAAAGATTTTTTTTTATATTTATTCATTTATTTGAGGTCTTCCATCTGCTGGTTGACTCCCCAGATGGCTGCAGAGCTATGCCAATCTGATGCTAGGAGCTAGGAGCTAGGAGCTTCTGGGTCTCCCACATGGTGCAGGGGCCCAAGGACTCCACCACCTTTCCAGGCCCCAGCAGAGCACTAGATAGGAGATGGAGAAGGTGGGACTCGAACTGGCACCCATATGGGATGCCAGCACTGTAAACAGTTGCTTTATTCACTAAGCCACAATGCTGGCCTCAAGACTGAAGATTTTAATTGTGCTTTTCATGTAAGTTTATTTTAGAGATTACATTAAACATAGAAACATTGCATTTAGAAAAACTAATTCATATTCCATTGTGTTCTCAAGGTAGAAAAGAGAAATGTTGAAGAATTTATCGAAGAGTCTCTGCACTTTTGTCATTATTTTATAATTCATGTGCTGTGTACTATTTATAATATCACATAGTAGCGATTTTTGGCTTTTAATCTTTTAAAGAAAATGAGCATTATATGTACCAAATACTATTTGTATCATCTGTGCCAGAAATTTTACCTTTCCAACAGCCCACTTATTGTTTGGCTGAACTTTAGCTTATGAGATAGAACATAGGTTTTGTAAACTGCCCTTTTGCTTGGCATAAATCTTCTTCCTCTTTTACCTTGTCATCCCATTTCTCTTCATTGCTTTTTTTTTTCTTTTACTTTCTTTCATTTCCCAAATACTTCTGTTTTCTGATATATGAAGTTCTAGTATAGGGAAAGATTAGAAAATATTGTTACAACCATATAATATTTAAAAGTTATGATTTAATTCACCATAGGTCTGACATTTTTTTTTGTTTTTTAAGATTTATTTATTTTATTTGAAAGTCAGAATTATACAGGGAGAGAAGGAGAGGCAGAGAGACAGAGAGAGGTCTTCCATCCGCTGCCACCTACTGAAAAGGAGAGTTTAGAGAGTTAGATTAGCCTTATCTGCCTGTTAAACCAAAACGTAATTACTCTTCAGAATAACATAAAGAAATCTAAAATTTCTAAAATGTTGTCATTCACAGTGTCCAAAATATAATTCACACATTAATATACAGATATATATAATACCTGTTGAAGTGAAATGGACACTATGGGAAACGGTGACTTGATCAGCATAGCCCTGACTGTTAGTGAACAACTTAATACATTATCCCTCTTAGTAGTTTTTTTTGTCTGTTCTACTTAATATGACTGGTTTAATTCTGTAATTAATACACAGTTATTCTTAAGTGTTGATATTTAACTGAAATGTGATCTCTGTTAAACATAAGAGTGGGAATAAGAGAGGGAAGAGATGTACAATTTGGGACATGCTCAGGCTGACTTGCCCCAAATGGTAGAGTTAGAAACATACCAGGGGACTCCAAGTCAATCCCATCAAGGTGGCATGTACCAATGCCATCTCACTAGTCCAAGTGATCAATTTCAGTTCACAATTGATCATAATGAAAGGACTAAGAGTCAAAGGGAGCACATAAACAAGTCTAGTATCTGCTAACACTAACCGATAGAATAAATAAAGGGGAAAGTGATCCAACATGGGAAGTGAGATACTCAGCAGACTCATAGAATGGCAGATGTCCTAAATAGCACTCTGGCCTCAGAATCAGCCCTAAAGGCATTCGGATCTGGCTGAAAAGCCCATGAGAGTATTTCAGGCATGGAAAGCCAAGACACTCTGGCAAAAGATCTCTGTGAGTGAGATCCCAGTGGAAAGAACAGGTCTTCAAAGAAGGCGGTACCTTTCTCTGAAGGGAGGAGAGAACCTCCACTTTGACTATGACCTTGTCTAAACAAGATAAGAGTCGGAGAACTCAAGGGGCTTCCATAGCCTTGGAAACTCATGACTGGAGCATAGGGAGATTACTGATGCCATAGACAGGAATGTCAATTGGTAAAGTCAACAACAGGAGTCACTGTGCACTTACTCCTCATGTAGGATCTCTGTCCTTAGCGTGCTGTACATTGAGACTTAATGCTATAACGAGTACTCAAACAGTATATTTCACTTTGTGTTTCTATGGGGGTGCAAACTGTTGAAATCTTTACTTAATGCATACTAAACTGATCCTCTGTAAAAAAAAAAAAAAAGAAATTATCAACTCCCAACTTGACTCTCACTGGGATTAAACATGACAATAGGTCTGATCTGATTTCATCATCATTTAAAAAAAAATCATCTATTATTTTTCACTTTATGTTTCTGTGTGGGAGCAAACTGTTGAAATCCTTACTTAATGTATACTAAGCTGATCTTCTGTATATTAAGATAATCGAAAATGAATCTTGATGTGAATGGAAGGGGAGAGGGAGTGGGAAAGGGGAGGGTTGTGGGTGGGAGGGACGGTATGGGGGGGAAGCCATTGTAATCCATAAATCGTACTTTGGAAATTTATATTCATTAAATAAAAGTTAAAAAAAAATAATAATATAATTAGACACACATCAATATACAGATAATATATAATAAAATCAGGCACACATAAATATACAGACAAAAATTTGAATCATACTTTAAAAAAAGTCATTTAATTGAGACTGGCTCCAATATGAACTGCATGTCAAAATTAGCAGATACTATAACTGTTTTAGGTCATAAATGAAAACATGTATGTCATGGATCAACAGCTAACAATCTTCAACTAAAAAAAAAAAGAGGCCAGATAAAAGAACCAAATGCAAGTTCTATAACTTAAAAATAATATATTTGAACTCTTTAATTAACACACAGTTATTCTTAGGTGTTTAAATTTAACTGAAAAGTGATCTCCATTAAATATAGGAGTGGGAATAAGAGAGGGAGGAGATGTACAGTTCAGCACATACTCAATCGGACTTACCCCTAATGGTAGAGTTAGAAATGTGCCAGGGGATTCCAATTCAATCCCATCAAGGTGGCATGTACCAATGCCATCCCACTTGTTAAAGTGATCAGTGTCAGTTCATAATTGATCATAATGATAGGATTAAGAGTCAAAGGGATCACATAAACAAGACTAGTGTCTGCTAATACTAACTGATAGAATTAAAAAGGAGAAAACAATCCAACATGGGAAGTGGGATACACAGCAGACTCATAGAATGGCAGATGTCCTAAACAGCACTCTGGCCTCAGAATCAGCCCTTACGGCATTTGGATCTGACTAAAAAGCCCATGAGAGTATTTCAGGCATGGAAAGCCAAGACACTGTGGCAAAAAAAAAAAAAAAAAAAGACCTAAATGAAAGATCTCTGGGAGTGAGATCCCAGCGGAAAGTATAGGCCATCAAAGAAGGAGGTCCCTTTCTCTGAAGGGAGGAGAGAACTTCCACTTTGACTACGGACTTGTCTAAATAAGATTGGAGTTGGCGAACTCAAGAGGCCTTGAGTTCATGACAATAGCCTTGGCAGCTCATGACAAGAGCCTAGGGTGATTACTGACATCATCAATAAGAGTGTCAGTTGTTAAATTAACAACAGGAGTCACTGTGCACTTATTCCCTATGTAGGGTCTCTGTCCTTAATGTGTTGTACTGTGTGAATTAACGGTAAAACTAGTACTCAAACAGTACTTTATACTTTGTGTTTCTGTGTGGGTGCAAACTGTTGAAATCTTTACTTAGTATATACTAAATTGATCTTCTGTATATAAAGATAATTGGAAATGAATCTTAATGTGAATGGGATGGGAGAGGGAGTGGGAGATGAGATGGTTGTGGGTGGGAAGGAGGTTATGGGGGGGAAAGCTGCTATAATCCAAAAGTTGTACTTTGGAAATTTATATTTATTAAATAAAAGTTTAAAAAATAGTATATTTGAGGCCGGCTAATCCTCCACCTAGCGGCGCCGGCACACTGGGTTCTAGTCCCGGTCGGGGCACCGTATTCTTTCCCGGTTGCCCCTCTTCCAGGCCAGCTCTCTGCTGTGGTCCGGGAAGGCAGTGGAGGATGGCCCAAGTGCTTGGGCCCTGCACCCCATGGGAGACCAGGAGAAGCACCTGGCTCCTGCCTTCGGATCAGCGTGGTGCGCCGGCCATGGCGGCCATTGGAGGGTGAACCAACGGCAAAAAGGAAGACCTTTCTCTCTGTCTCTCTCTCTCACTATCCACTCTGCCTGTTAAAAAAAAAAAAAAAGTATATTTGAGATAAAAAAATTGATTATTTAGGGTGACAGAGATTGGGGAAGAAAAAAAGAGTTGGTAAACTTCTTAAGTCAGTAGAAATTATTTTATTTTCTTAAAGATTTATTTATTTACTTAAAAGTCAAAGTTACACAGAAAAGAGAGAGCCGCGCGGGGTCTCCATCCGCTGTTTCACTCCCCAGATGGCTGCAACAGCTGGAGCTGTGCCAATCTGAAGCCAGGAGTTTCTTCTGGGTCTCACATGGGTGCAGGGGCCCAAGGACTCGGGCCATCTTCTACTGCTTTCCCAGGCCATAGCAGAGAGCTGGATTGGAAGTGGAGCGGCCAGGACTCCAACCAGCACCCATATCGGATGCTGGCACTGCATGCAGCGGCTTTTACCTGCTATGCCACAGTACTAGCCCCAGAAATTATTTTTTTAATGAGATTTATTTGAAAGTCAGAGTTACAGAAGGAGAGAGACAGAGAGCTCTGCTATCCACTTGTTTTCTCCCCAGATGACCACAACAGCCAGATCTGGGCCCAGCCGAAGCCGGGAACTTGGAGCTTCATTCAGGTTTTCCAGATAGGTAACAGGGGCCCATATGCCTGGGCCATCTTCTACTGGTTTTTCAAGGCCATTAGCAGGGAGCTGGATTGAATATGAAGCAGCCAGGACATGAACTATTGCCCATGTAGGATGCCATCATCACAGGCAGCAACTTTACCCTGTACTCCGCAACACTGGTCCTGAAATTATTCATTCTTAGAAAGTAATAAACGGTATTTCAAAAAATGAAGTGACTGGTAGAACAGTGCCAGTATTTGTGCTGTATATATTAGACCTTTGGAAATACCAAGTTGATCGCTGTCTGACCTTTTTAATTTATTTTTTAAGTTTCACAAGGTTTAATACATGTGTTGTTTGAGTGCTAGAAGTAGAGGACAGGGAAATTTGGCACAAATTTTTCAAGAAATAATGGCTAACAATTTATATAAATTAGTGAAAAAAACAGTTTATATATTCAAGAATCTCAATGAATTCCAAAATAGAGAAATACAATAAAGTAGGACTTGGGCAAATTATGATGAAGCTGTTTGAAATGATGCTTTCCAAAAAAGAACAATTGAAAGCACCCAATGAAATAGGTCTATAACCAGTGATAGCTGACTGTGTATGTAGGTAGTCATCAAAACTCTTTGATTGAGAGAGTCTGAAATTGCAAGAGTGGGTGTACAATGCCTCCTTTTGCCTTCTGGGTTCATTAAAAATGTAAAATAAAATAGTGCAGATTCTGTCAGAACATTTTTGACAATTTTGGCCTGGACATAAGATATAAAGTACTCCAGTATTTACTCTTTTAGAGACAGAAACAGGTCTTGCACATCTTAGACTCCTGTCTTAACTGTCTCTTACCCATGCTTGGTCTTGGGCAAGTTTTCAGCTTTTTTTAGACTCAACCAGCTTCTCTGTTAACTCACTTTAACAGCCTATTCCTCACGTAGTTACCTTAAAAATTGGTGAGTCACAGAACACAATACACTAGCACATAGAAGACATTCAAGCAATGTCAGGTTAATTTTAGTTTGCAGGTAGACATTCCTGTGTTTAAAATAGATTCAGAAATACAATTAGTCTTTTATTACTTTGGCATTCCTTTAAAGTCTGAATGATTACAAAACTGGTAGGCACCCGCCTACTGTCTACTACTGTTTCTGCTTTCCAAGGTCTGGTTGCATCCCGATTGGGAATTATTAAACATTTGTATGAAATAATATTTTAACTTCTGTTTGTATCAACATTCCTTTTCTTGAATTTTAGTTTACTGGTCTGGTAAATGCTGTAACTTTTACAATGCTAAAATGTTGTTATCTAACGGTCTATTCTGGTTGTGTTAGTAGAAATATATATTTATATTTGTCTCCAGAGACCTTATTCCATAGATCATGATATAAAAGTATAATTTATTAAATTAGCTTATAAAATTAAAATTTAATTCATCTATTCTAGTGGTTTTAGTAGATATATGTAATTATATTTGTCTCCAGAGATCTTATTCCACAGATCATGATATAAAAGTATTATTTATCAGATTAGCTTATAAAATTAAAATTTAATTGATTGGAAAGACATACATACAAACACAGACACACCTTGTGTTTGCTAGTTCACTCCCCAAATGTATGCAACTACTGTGGCTTGGCCAATCCAAGGCTAGGAGCTTGGGACTAAATCCAGGTTTCATGGGTAGCAGAGACCCAGCTGCTTGCACTGCTGCCTCC